AGTTTCATTCTTCTTAAAACTGCAGTATGAGTTAGTAACTCTTCCAACTAATTATTTTCTGTTGTTTTCTAGGAAATTTGCTGAAGCTGTGGCAAGGAAACTAATGTTCGCACAGCAAGTCCTCAAAGATCAAAATTGTAATTTTTCCACTTTTGAAAATTCTGGCGAAGATCTTATTAACGAAGTAAGTGTTGATGCTTGTGATGTTACTCTGAGTGCATATCCACACCGGGCAAGCTTGAGTGTTATTTTGTTTCAATTTTGCAAATCGTATAATGCGCTTCTTTCGCACGTTATTTGTATATTTTCTCATCCCATATTTTCTTTGCTTTTTTAAAGGCGGATCAGTTGGTTAAGAGAGTTGACAGTTTACATGCTGAAAAACGGGCCATAAAGATGGAACTGGAATCGATCAGATCAACTCAGCCAGAAAACGTGAAATGCTGACAACGCTTTTATTCGCGAACGAATTAAACCTTGTGTTTTAGCAACTTGAGTCAACTAGCAGGCTTGTCCCCCTTTAGAAATCGCTCTTGTGCGTTATACCTTTGGGAATTTAATTTAATTGTACATGAACGGCGGAAGTATTTACAACTTCCCTTTGTCCAAATATACAAAGTTGTCCTTCAGTAGCATTATATAAATGTTGTGTTCGAGTGAGGCCAAAAGTTACTGTAAAAAGTAAAGCCTAACTTAGGCGGCAAATGTTAATATAAAAATATAAAATATATAAAAAGTTTTTTAACTTTTTAATTTTTTAAACTTTTAATTTTTTAACTTTTTATATTTTTCTATTAACATTTGTCATTTGCCGCCTAAGATAGGCTTTACTTTTTACAGTAGCTTTTGGCCTCACTCGAACAGTCGAACACGACATTTGTTCAAATAATTTAACACTTCGTATAAGTTGTTACGACAAATACTCGTTGTTCTGTAGTCCGTTGAACCATTTTTGCTCGACCTGACGGTAAGACGAATTTGTAATCTGACATTTTTGTGTTGCTGTTCGTTTTAGAAGCTTTTTCAAATTCCCAGATGTATAACAACGCACATTTAACACCAAAAGAGTGATTTCCGACGGGTTTTTTGGACATCCTGTAGAGTGTAATTCCAAATTACATACTGAACAGTTCAGATAATTGCTGTAGTTTTTAGAAAATCAACTTTTTATATACGGTGTATTTATTGCCAAAATCAAATCGCTGTGTGTTGTGTGATTCTAGTTTGAAAGTAAATAGATATTTTATACTGAACTTAGAAAGGTCTATAATATTGATATCATTGTGTACTTTGTTACTGGACCTAGATTTTCGCATAGTTCTACTGCTACTGTTTTTCCTTGGATGCAAATAATGGACGGGGAAAATATTAAACAAAATGTTACTGTATCATAAATACGAACCATATGCCACTTTGTCTGGGTGCTCTGTTTTCCGTGTTCCGCTGTTTCGTATTTAATGAAACCCTTGCCCAGAGCCATTTTATCGATTTTACTTGAAGTACTGCGGAAGTATCGCATATTCGGAAATCTAATTTTGTATATTTTTTGTTTCGATTTTCGAATATGGACGAAAAGACGCGAATTTATTCTTGGAATTAAATACCTTTTTAATATATATATTTTTACCTATTTAATACTATGAATGTGCCAAAGTCAAAGGTATGTACACCGCAATATAATCAATTGTTGATCAAGGCCCGATCTCTAATATATTGTTGTTTTATGCGGTGAAAATCCCGGCATAAATATGTTCGTATTAATTTGCGTTTTTTGTTAATATTTTATTGTCTTTTTATAAATAACAGGTCGAATTGCATGTTCATTTGGACGGATCGCCTCGTATAACCACTATTATCGAGCTAGCAAAGTAAGATTGACTTTTTGACGTTGAATTTTTAGTACTTGATAGTTGATATAGCATAATAAAACTGTCTTGGAAATTAAGTGCCAATATAAATATAAACAAGCCTTCATTGGTAGGAAATGTTGGCGACGGGGGGAGGAACTAAAATTTTCTTGTCAACTACATGTATACCGAAATTGGATGTTTTTGACCCAAATTTTTTTAAAAGGTCCCATCAAAATATTTTCCAAACAAAAAGGGCAACTATGATGTTAATTTAGTATTCACAGCGACATTAGCTTGTACAAAAAGGGCACTTTTCATCACAAAAAAGGGCACTTTTTGTTCTTTTGAAAAAATTGGGGAAGGCACATGCCTCCTGTGCCCCTGGTTCCTAGGCGCCTGCCTTTGTTGCTTTTGGCCACCTCCCCCCCCCCCTCCTCTTTCCCTTCTCAGTGGACCTGGTTGCATTTGCACCAACTGGGATTCTGTAGTGCAGACATCAAAGCAAGCGCCTTTTACCTCTGAGATTGTCGGTTTGATTCACACTACGGACTCATGTGATAAGAGTCAGTCAACACTCCAGATGCTGAAAGTTGTAGCTTTTCTCCAGACAGGGTGGGTTAGAATAAACACAGTTAAGAAACTAATATCACAATTGTTGTAAAGACAAATAGTCTAGGCTAAGCAAGTAACATAAGTAAGTGTAATGAGTCATTCCAGAAAAGATCCACACTCCTCCCACAGAGGAATTTCTGCCGTCCAGAGGGGGAGGGAAGACAAAATTGTTTCTGATAATAGTAAATGTATTAGGACATCCGAAGGGGGTAGGGGGGTTAACTTCAAATTTCCTCCGTGGGGGTGGTATATGGATGTTTTCCGGAATGACCCAATACTTGATGTAATCGGTCACAGAAAAGCGCCAATGGAAAGTGAGCTGAATAACAATGTAATGTAAATATGCAATGTAACCATAGACGGATTTTCATATTTTTTACTGGGGTGGTGCCAGAAATTTTAGGGGGGTGAGCCATGAGCAGGTGACTGAAGCAACACAAAGTGTCGCCAAACCCCAGTAAGGTCTATATTCTAGGGGTGGAGCACTAGAGCCGCGAGTGGGAGTCTAGAGAGCAGAAAACAAAGTATCCCTGAAAAAAATAATGATTTCTAGCTTCGAAAAAACGTTTTTTAAGTTGCAGGCTTTCTGGCATCCTTGTGTAGAAAAGTAGGACAAAAGTAGGACTAGAATTTTAGGAAAAGTAGGAATAAAGTAGGAAAATGTGTAGAAAAGTAG